ATTTAAAATGAAGAATGGGGGCATATTGATGAGTTCAAGGAGAAGAAATTAGTTGAGTTTGAATACCTCCGATTTCTAAAGGAGAGAGAGAGACAGAGAGAGAGAGGAAAAAAAACACAATAAATGATGCAGATAATTTGAATATTTATATAGAGGCATCTTTACAAGATAGTCATATTTATTTTTAATCAATTTCAGTTTAATTCTTTAAAAGGAAATTGAATAGTGCCGCTACATTAAGCCTCTCTGAATACATACATATAAACTTTCTACCATTATTGAAAACATATTTTAAATATTGTTGAAAAACATATTTCAATTTGGATAAAAATCAATACTCTTTCTACATAATTGTTGAAAAACATGATTTTTTTTTTTCAATTTCATTGACAGATCAATATACTATCTTAGGCACTAAATGTGGAAAAACATGATTATTTCAATTTGAAACTTTCTACCATTGTTGAAAAACTTGATTGTTTCAATTTGAATAAAAATCAAAATACTTTCTACCATTTAAAAAAAAAAGTTTGTTTTTTTTCAATTTGGATAAAAATAAATTCTAGCAGATTACATGTATTTTGAGGGGAAAAAAACATATAAGGAAACATTAAGATGTAGTGGTATTATGGTTTAATTGGTAAGATAAGTTTATGATAAGATAAGAAATTAAGTGGAATATGATAAATATGTCACATGTGACACTGTTTCCCTCCCATACTATATTTGTATCATTTACACCACAATCTAATATCTTTGTTTTATCATTTACATTGATAGTCATCAAATATCCAATTTTTTTGTCTAAAATCATTAAATTTTTATCAGGCACAGTGTCATAGATCTCCTCCCAGTCTTTAACACAACATGTGTTAATTCAATCTGTTAATTGTTCCAATTTAGTAAAGACTTAAGTTATCAAATTTTTTAATCTACCTGTGTCATTTGAATTTTATCTTGCCATGACCCAGTCTCTTCTATCAGAATTTTGATGTTTATTTTTTTTCCCCACAATTTAAATGTTATGATTCTATTAAATGTAGTAAAAATAACTGTTAAATCTCACAATGCTCAATTTAAAACTGCTTTCAGAAAATTATTGAAATCTTCTTGAAAATAATATTAGCAAAATAATTTGTAAATAATCATGCCAAACTAAATTACAAGAACCATGAATCTTTGAATAAAAAGGAGTAAAAAACAACAACACAAAGTTAGAATGAGGACACATTTGATACTGACATATCCAGTCCAATATCACCAGACCCTTACAATGCATTATCCCCTTATTTTGTGAATTTTTGCCTTCAAAGAAGGCCAGTTGCCTATACTTGAGTAAATATATTCTCTTCAAGAAGATAACTCACAGATTATTACTGGTTCAGCTGTCAATCACTATATACAGTTATTACAAGAGTATTTAGTATTTGACTGTAGCTGGGAAATCACAAGACACGAAGAACCCGAGTGTGTTCTATTCTGGTTAAATCCATGAGAGCTACAATAAAAATAAAAGTTAAATATACTTCTTTAATAACTTGTTTATTTATATACCTTTACAAATTTGAACTAAACATTCAATCATAATGTAATTTTTTTTACCCTCGAACATAATACAGCTATTTTTTCTGATGGATCATATTTGTGTATGTGATACATGAATTAAATATGTACCTAATAATTATAATAAAATTACTTATATATTTGCTGTATAATATATACTACTATATTTTCCCTTTACATCAGTCACAGAAGATAGCCTCCTTGAATCCTTTAAATTTAATGTAGCATCAATAAGATGACAATACAAATGTACATCAAATTGTTCAGTTTTTTTTTTCACTTTTGCCATTTGTAAACATGAACATTAGGCCAGTTTTTTTGTTATAACTCAGTTGTATAAAATATTAATGGTTAATTAATAGGATGTATTTTCCCTTATAACATGAACTATATCTGTATTGGGAGAAATTTATGCATGTTCATTTGCAAGAGAGAATTTTTTTTGTCATTTTAACTTTTTTCTTACTCAATCTTTTTAAATAAGAAATATAATATTGTGTTTAAAAAATAACCTAAAAAACACAGTTGATATTTTCTTGTTGTTACAAATGTACCAGTAACAATTCTAATTTGTTATATACTTTCTTAAGGTAATTTTATTATAATATCAGGCTTATTTATTTTTCATAGAAGAAAAATGCTCAAAATATTCAAAAATAAATTATGATAACTACAAGATTTTTGGCTGTAAAACCCTCATCAATTGTATAAATGTTGGTCATTAAATATAATAATTCTTAAAATTGTCTTAATTTTCCTTCAGTGATAATATTCATGAAGTGTCACATGAAATTATCATAACTAAAATGGCTTTTTTACACACAAAAAATGTAATTATGGGACAATTATTTTAATCATATTTCAATTGTTCTATATGGCATTTTAATGATAAGAAAATGGCATAAGTGTGACCATATTATTATCTTGTATTTTATCTCAGCTGAAGTTTCTTACTTTGCTATCAAAGTGGACAATTTCACTATCTGTAGAATCAGCAGATAGATTTAGATCATTTACAAAATCAGCAAAATCTAGTTTTCTTTGCTCAAGAGCACATGGCTTGCTGATTGACTATTGTAAAGAAATGATTGGCCAATCAGAAGCCTGCATTCATCCTTCACTTCACCAATCAATACAGGTGTTATATATGTCTAGGAAAACTGAATGAAGTTTGTAGTAAGGATTTGTATGTTGTAGAGAAAGGGTGTTATGAGAGTGGATATTTACAATACTGTATTCTAAAACTTTAATTAACAGTTACTTTTCTTTTGACACTGGATTTTATAAATTTATATATAAATAGTGATATATGAAAATAATTTTTCATATAATAAGTTGTTCTCTACGGTGATATAGTGACATTACACAGCTGACAGTTAATTTAAAGAACAATTGTTGATTAACATAGTATTATTGACACTAATTAACATTAATGATAACATTCATTAATTGTGTGTTAATTGGATTCAGTGACTGACATTTCTATTGTTTTTGACACTTCCTACAGAGATATCTCATGGATTAACTAATTAATAGCTGGAGTTCTTCTATAATAAATAATAATGATATAAATTTACTGGACATTATAATAATATTACCATTAGACACTAGTAAAGTTTAGTGTGAGGATAATAATAACTCATAGAGAGGACATCATTTCTGTGATCATGATTTTAAAAGACTTTAGTTCTGATTCCGGAGACAGCTACTGCAGTAAAATACCAATGTTGAAACAAGGTACATATATCATATAGTGACTATTTATAGAATATATCAACATTTTCTTATATTTTGGTGATAAATTCATTTAATTTTTTCTTTTTTTCAGGATTTTTGTAATACTTGATTAAGAATAACTTAATTTTATGATTTAAAACTGATCATTAATTTGCAAAATCCTCCTTATTTTATAGGATAGCTAAACTATTACTATAGGATTACTAGTATCAGAGTTTGTATATTTGATAGTCATATTACAATTCCAATAAATTAGGAAATGAAAATAAGGAGAAAATATATGTAATTTTGCAGAATGATAATAATTTATCCAGCTTTGTCTCTCATTTTCACAAGGGTTTATTACATTAGAAAACTATTAAACTCCTTGGAGCATATATTTAATCAGTAAGTGATGCAATCATGTGGTGTGACTTTGTAATAAAACAGACACCATTTTTTATTTCTATTACATAATTATGATACGATTTATAGGACGAGTGAACACACAGGGGTCAGGTGCTTATATCTGGTGTGCAGTAACCACCTATGGTGCTGAGCTTCTGTGTTTGTAAATGAGGGCTTGTGTTTACATTAACCCCCCTTTCTTCTCTCTCCACAGGCTTTACAAACCAGAATCACATAGTTTATAACAAAATTAGATGTATTGTCAACAATCAATTGGCCGTAAATTCTTTGCATTTGATCTTAATACCCTTAGCTATTTGCTTAGCTTTTGTGTTTTTTACTTTGATATTTCGGGAAATAATACCTCTTGCTAAACTATTGATTGTTGTTTTTTTTCCAATGGAAAATGTTGATTTTATTGCCCATTTGTTTTCTATGTTGAATGCTGTATAAAATTTTGAACAAAAAAATATTATGGGCCCAATTTATTAAAATTCTGATCATTACAGTAATTTATTGATGAAAAAAAATATATGCATAAATTAGTATGATATTTGGGATAATTTGCTTTATTACAGCATTGTTTAAACAATGTTGAGTTTGAAGTGAAAAGCAATCAATTATGTAAGTTTACTGTCAAATTTTGTTGACATAAAATATATCACATGTCATTCTGAGTATAATCAGATAACTGCCACCCTTTGCTATGCCCTCTAACCATTATCAGAATTTTACTTCAGTTTTTCATTATTTAAGTTTGGGCAAACTTTGGTAATTAAGTGATTGGGGAAGTTTTATTGATTGCAAACTTTAACTATCAAGGAGTAATAGGTGAGAAATGGTGTGAAGTAGTTTTTCACTGGTAGCACTTGCAATGGAAATGTATTCATAAATGTTAACACCAAATAAAGTTGACATGTGCATGCAATCAATTAGGACCACTGCACACATCATATTGTGACAATTTTATTACACTTTACAATACAGAAAGTGTTAATTGAATAAAACAAGTGCTCCCTGCAGTGATAATGGACTGTGAAATATTTCTTATTGTGCTACAATAGCAAATAATTTCTACTCAATTAGACCTTTATTAAATAGTAATGAAAAATCCAATGAATAATTACTAAACAACTATGATTGCACAGAGAGGTAACTTTTTTTGCTAAGAAAATTTATATATTTTTTGATAAGTGTTTTGATATATATGATATATATTTCTTGGATTCTTAAATAATAAATTGTTTGCACACTGGTTTCTTATTCTCAGACACATTGGAGTTAATATGTTTATTTCATATGTATATTTTCAGGTCAATTAAAGGTTTCTGCTTACATGAACTTCGGTCTTCTTACTGTCCATGTAATACAAGGACGACAACTTTCTACAAAATGGAAAAATATGTGCGATTCATTTGTAAAGGTGAGTTTTCACATTAATCATATTTTATCAGAAATAAACTATAAGAATAGGTATTGAAATAAATCACCTAAAATTAATCTAAGCAAAAAAAAATCATATTAAGATCAAATATAATTCTTTAAAAAGATATACTTCACAATACATTTTCTAATTCCTAAAGTGATATTTATAATTGCTTATTGATTCATTTATAATGGCTTATTGATTCATTTATCATTGCTTATTGATTCATTTATTATTGCTAATTGATTCATTAATTTTATTATTTTAGTTAAGTTTATTACCTGATGACGGGAAGAAACCAAAATGCAAAACAGAAGTTGTACAAGATACTAATAATCCGCTATATGACGAGAAATTCTCTTTGTAAGTTACATAACTCTTTCTGTTTTACACCATATCTTGATGAAATCTAGTATAAAAATCTAGTTTATCATATCTTGAAATCTAGTGTAAAATATTAGTGTAAAATAAAATTGGTATCATTTCCTGCTGATTTTAGGAAGAATAGTTGGGTAGCTAGGAAACAATGGCAGCTGTGACTTCTATCAGTGATTAAATACGAATTAACTGATAACAGGCCTGATTTTTACCTCAATAAAATTAGAAACACTGCCTAAACACATTGGGGTGGTAAATCTGGCACCAAATCATTATTAAAAATATTCTTAATTATTTGCATTTAAGATTTCACTCGTGATTGTTTCTATGTGAACTAGATATTATAAAATCTCTTAATAGCTAAATTGTTTGAAGTTTTATCACCTATCTCCATCCAATTATGTAGCAATTTTTATGGATTCATTTGTACCAAATTTAAATATTGATCTTTAATAAAGTGTTCTTGTGCCAGTGATAAAATTTCTATTATTTGACCATGAAAGTGTTTGCAGTGGTTCAAGTACTAAATTTGAGTGGGGAACTCTCCCAGCAGTTTATGATGATTATACCTGTAATTACAGCAGTCTGGTTATCTTAAAAATCAGCAGTATCTTTAAGATCTAAATTGTGCACATTTGTCACTCTTTGGCACTGAAATAGACGATTCTTCTCCTATTTCAACCCCACTGCTTTCTGTTGCTCTTGAAAATAATTAGATCATGGTTGTGTACATGGTGGAAATAAAGTAATCTTTCAAATTATCATGGACTTTTAACAGCTTCTCAGAGAAGTCTTTGTAAGATTTCTGCCCGGGGTTTTATAATTTTGCTGGTGACATTGTACTAGTGGGCATGTGTTGTTAATTTTGTAATGATGATGGCTAGAAATCATATCAGCATGTCCCCCCAGTGATAACAATCTGAATATAAACTGACCTACAGACTGCACATAGGCCACAGGGGAAAATATGTTGTCATGATAAGGTTACTTTTGATGAAAAAAACTCTTCCAGTATATTAAACACCAATGTTAAATGTTAAATATTGATGATGATTTTTTCAGTGAGCTAAATGAAGAGGATCACAACAAGAGATTAATGGTGTCAGTCTGGCATCGAGACACACAGGCTGGGTAAGTTTTTATAACTATCTTTTATCTTCTTTTATCCTCTTCTATGTCTATACCTTATTTAATAGTTGTAAAGATTATTATAACTCTAAATTAGGGTTGAGAAGAGGGGCATGATGTAATGATAGACTTGTAATGAGTAGCATCTAGAGACAAATGTGGTAGACAGAAGTCATAAAATGTTTTTATGCTACTATCTGGAGAGACAGACAAGTGGTCTAATTGTCTTGAGATAAAGTGTTAAGAGGATTTGATAATCTGGCCCCACTGCTTGTGATGACTATTTGATGACTTTATATGATATGACCATTTGTTTCTCTACTGCTACCTGTATAGTTTGTCACAGTTTTATGATAACAAACCTTGTGTTAGAGTAGTAAACCAGTGATATATAGTCTTGTTGAGTTAGGGGATTAATCTGTGATTCCTGGGTAATTAAGACCTCATGTACAATTACGGGCATCAATTATAGACACAGTGTCTGGTACCTGGTTGATTTCTTGATTAATAATTTGATTGAGAGATGTCTGAGTCGTGGGTGTGAGATTTGGGGTTTCTACTGGTCTGATTGGCTTGACAAAAAATAGATAAGCTAATCTGATTGGCTAATGACCTAAGGTTTTATATATGAGGGATAGCCTGGTGCTGTGTTTAGTTTTTCTGCTAATTGATGATAAGTACACTCAGTGGTTTTATGAAATAATTCTGGAGATAACATTAATTGGAAACATTTGGACATTATGGTTGTGAGAAAAAGGTTAGCTGGAATTTACCATGATCTGTTTTAACACAGAACTTTTAGCAATATTTAAATTTCCTTCAATTTCAATTTACAACTGGTCTAAGATTTATTTATTGGCAGATTGTAACAGTTTGTTGTTACAGCATGTTTCAGTAACACATACACAGTATTTGTATAAAAGTTAAGTGTTGCTTAATTCTAAATTCTCCAGTTATTTGTTTGGTATTGTCATAAGAAAATTGACTGTATGTATTGCAGATAAGAAAATCCCCATTTTCTATGACATATAATAATGGTAGTCTAGAAGTCTATCACAAGATCTACAACCTTTCATAGATTTTAGTTGGGCAATTTTGGTTTCTATGGTATAAAAGTAAACACATGGTTTAATGGGGGATTATAGATGTCAGATTATGCTTGTACTTTGTGTCAACAAGGGGGGTAATTGGAGTTAAGAAAGTGAAATGAATTCTCTTGAATTGTTATCTGGATTAAGCCATATAGATTATTTAGCAATTATGTACTTGGTAGAAAAGTAATTTTATCAAAATTAAGCATATTAACATTTGTATAAGGGTCTATTATAGCTCTGTGTTTTGACAAAAAAATTAAAATAGGGTGGGCAAGTTTAGGCTGTGTTGATTCAAGAGATTAATGTGGACCAGGGATTGATTTATGCACTGGGTTTAGAAAACAGATACATTTAAAGTTGTTATAGTAATTAAGTGCTGAAAAGGCGAAAATCACTGTCACAGGTTCCTCCAGATTTTAAAGATAAATTGACACATTCCAAACTTATCTTGATTTTAATATAATTATAAGTTCACATTGACATATCTTAATTTTCATATATTTCTGTATTTCAGAGTGAATGAGTTTTTAGGCTGTATGTCATTTGGTATCCGACATCTTACAAACCCCAAAAAGGAGGTTAATGGATGGTACTACCTCCTAACAGAAGATGTGGGACGTAAAAAACATCTTCAAGTTTCACACAGGCAGCATCCACAACTCAGAATTAGAAGTAAGTTTGGGTTGTCTTTTCTTTATTAATCCTGCATATTTCAGATGTAATTGTAAAAGACTTCTAATCTTTATAATGTAAACTTTATTCAGATATCTTTACACTTTCTCTTAAGTATTTTTAAACTTTCTCATAATAAAAGAAGCTTACACTGCCTAGACACTTGTTTATAATTTTTGTTTTTCCTTTTCTCAGATCAATCTCATATCCCATCAGTAAATAAAGATGTTTGGGGTACAGAGTCTGTTAGCTTGACTTTACACCGTGGTAAGACAGGGTTCGGGTTCTCTGTGATTGAAGCTTGCCCAGTCCGTGTTGGCCGCGTGGACGGAGCATCGCCCGCTGAATCAGCCGGTCTCCAACCTGGTGATATTATAATCCGACTGAACAAACAAAACGTCTCCAGATCTACTGCTACAAGTGTAGCTAAACTTATCAAGTAAGTTACTTATCATAATATTTAGAATTTTGTTAAGCCATATGATAGAAAAATTTACAATAATCTCTTGTTCATAATTAAAACATTAAATGTATAGGGGCTGACTTACTTACTTTGTTAACAGCATAATGTTTTGTAGTTCTGTTTTATTGCAAATATTATTTCATTGTTTTCTTTTTATTATAGAAACAGCAACAACACGATGGTACTAGAACTACATAGACCCCGACCTGTTACTTACGAGCATCTTGAGAACTCCCCTTTATCAAACACAACCCTCGGAAACAACACTGACACCTGTAACTATGGTAACGATTATACCAACAATACATACAGAGACCAGTCTGTACCCCAGATGTACACCCTTCATGATGATGAGGATAAAGAAAATGAGGTCTCAATGGAGGATCAAACTTTGTACCCTATCAACCCACACATTGCTTCCCTGGCAACCAGTACACCACTGCCACTGCTAGCCCGAGGACATAGGGTAAGTCTCATACATAGTCAGTAACTAAAACTATACAATAAGTCAGTCTAAAGATAATTTCTCTGTTTAAGTAAATAACTATTTATAAAGCACAAATGAAGAAATGTCAAATGAGTTTTAGAACTTAGATAAATAATGATCATTCTTTTATGGAAATAAAATTATCAAATTTCTTTCTTACTTTATATTTCACTTATGATATAATTGTTGTCTTATTTCAGACTGTACAAACTTGTGAAATGAGAAAACAAGAGGCCATTCATCGTCTTCTGAGCATTGAACTTGACTTTATTGACCTGATGCATGCTGGGATGCAGCGATACTCACGCCCTCTACGTCATTGTATACTAAGCCACTCCCACCATTCTGCACTCTTCCAAAATATCGAAAAGGTATGATAGTTTCAGAGATAAATATATACTCCATAGTAGCAGTAATAATAATATTTAAGATTTACAAAAAGCTGTTAAACAAGCTGAATGTGTAAATGTAAAAATGAAAATTCAATAGTTCTGTTTAAGTAATAATTTCACATTTTGTAGAGATTTCAATGACATTTATTCTTATAGAATTTTTTTTTCTGGTATTTCAGTTGGTGACAATATCGGAATACCATGTAAAACAGATGCATGATAATGCACCGTCCTCTTTCATCTCGGAGGATGACACTGATACCTCCGCCTCTAGCGACAACCACAACTTCATACAGTCTATAGGTCTCATTTACCAGTCCAAGGTCCATATGTTGTGTCAGGCCTACGACCTGTATGCTAAAGGTATCAGCACAGCAAACCATCTTCTCTCCGAACTACGAAGGAATGAGGACTTTGTGAGATTTGTTCGAGACCCACCACTCGAGGGAAATCAACCAAGTATTAGCACATTTATATACCGGCCAGTGCAACACATCAGGGAGTTATACAAAGTTGTACAGGAGGTGTTCACTAATACATCAAGTGGCAGTTCTGATTATAATAGTCTGAAGGAACTTACTGAAGGTAATTATCATTATATATTTATCATCGTTATATATCTATTTGCTTCTTTTTCTCCAGATAAACATATCAATTAAGTAAAGCTAGTTACTCAATGGACTCAGTGTTGCTGTTAAATACAATTTATTAGCTTTCATGACTTAAATGGACAGAACTCATTATAAAGCATCCTTTTATCATAAGAAAAAATGTCTATAGAGTATGATTTTTTTTATGTCAGTCCTTGAATAAACTAATTTATTATTCTTTTCCTTCTTCAGTTTTACAAGAATGTTCAACCAACATCACAAACTACAGTTGTGAGAGAGTTGAAAGTTTGACCTCACTTACATCGAAAGATTCGAAGGTCAGTTTTACAGGAAGTATGAAGTCCAGATCTTCCAGTACATCTTGCAGCAGTGCTTCATCTAAAGGTCATTCTCTACAGACCAGTAAATCAGTGGACCATGAAGTGATGAAAATACAAGACAGACTTGTCTTCTCCTCTAATGTACCTGTAAGTTCTTGTTTAAAATAATAAGATATTTGATTAGAGTATTTTGTGGGAAATATTTACTAAAAATGTTTGCTTATTTTGTTTAGATTCTTAAATTTCAGTAAATTTCAAGATATTTCTCACCTTATCATTTTGTTAAACATATTATACTTTAAAAAACTTGTCAGAACTTTTTAACAATTGTAGCTCTATAGTTAAATATTGATGTTCAAATGTTATACTCATCATAAAAATGTCCTCAAATTACCAAACTTATGAATATCTGTTCTTTTGTACCTTCAGGTTTTCCAACTTTGCCAAGATGATCGTCATCTGATATTTTCGGGCGAGATGTTTAAGCGTGAAGGTCAGCAATGGATGAAGATACACGTATATTTATTCACGGATCTTATACTAGAGACAGTGAGAGAGAGTGACGGTTATCTGAAGGTGATACAAGAACCTACTATGTTAAGAGACATCGCCGCCATGGACTCACAGAGACAACATGGTACAGAGTTTGTACTCTACTCGACACCTAGACTTCACCAATCGCGGCAATGTGCGAAGAGGAAATTGAACTTCAGAGCACCATCGACGGAACAGAAAATGGCATGGAAAAGTTTGATTGAGCAGCGAGTGTTTGCTGTACGTGGGTCAATGGACTATTACAGTAGTACTAGTGATGTTTCTAGCAGCTCTTCATCCGCCATTGTTATATAAACTCCAATGATAGAACTGTTCTTTCATGCTTGCTGTAGAAACTGTTCTTCTGTCCCAGAGCTGAAGAATTTAAGTATGCCAGTATTATGTGCAATTTATATTTAATTGAAAGAAAAGACTTGGTACAGGTGAAGAAAATGACTTCGCACAGGTGAAAAAGGAAATGCTCCTAATGGTGTAATGTGTTCACAGTATTCATAATGTTTGTCAAATATAAATAGACACTCCCACTACATGTGAAGATGAGTGATTGGTTTTACAAAAAAGTGAGCTTTAAGGACTTTCAATACGAAGCAAAGCTTAAACATTCTATATCACTTGGAGAAGTTGTGTAGCAACCTGTGTATAGAACATGTTTTGTAAATGACAAATGTAAGCCATTAATGTTATGAGTATGTAAAGCTTAAAAACTGCAGATATGGCGGTCAGGCTGTTGTATATTTGTTTTTCAAGAAAGCTTGAACATTACAATATATATATGCTTGTTTTATGCATAAACATAATGTATAAACATAAGAATTTTGTTTTAACTAACATTAAGTCGTATATTAATATGACATTAAATGTGCTATGTTTTATATTAACATTGTGTTATGAAATAATCTTAGAACCTGAATTCCTTACAATAGGCCATGATATTAGCTTACAGTTGTAAAAAGTGTAAATATCAAACATTAAGAAAGCTTATTATTTGATACACATCTTTGACCATGTTAATAGTTTGTATTTGTTTCTGAATGTCAATTTTCATCCTTTTTATTTCTCTCTTTCTTTTCTAGCTTTTGTCTTTGTTGTTTGTCTCCTGACTTTGTTTTATTGTATGTTACTGTATCCATTCATTGACATTGTATTTATTTTCTACTAAATACATCAAAATAAAATTGAATATAAATTGAACATTGTTTTCTTTATAATTGTGTTGTGTATAATAATTTTATCGAATATCTTTGAGAAATGGGCTGCCCTGGTCAAGCTATTTAATATGGTAAAACATTGATTATTTCAAAAGTTAAATTCAATTCAGTTTCATGACCAGTATTGGTGTGAATAGTTCTAACCCTTTAAGAATATTATAGTTCCGGATTTGAATGACAGACACCTTAACCACTTATACACGACTCCCTTTACAATGAGTTACTGCAGCAAATAGACAGAAAACATCAGGCCTGCTGACCATTAGATATTTGGAACAGTGATGTATTTGTAAAAACAATAGAATATAAGGTATAGTAATACTTAAAAAAAGTGATCAGTTATCACAGGACGTTGTTGCCTCATGATAGCCAATTGCAGCTTCTGTGTAGCAGGAGACACAAAAATCACATTTTTTATTTAAGGGCAACAACTAGGCCAAAATCATTCTACCCAAAAAGCCTTGTAATATGCCCAAGTATTTGAGCTATTGATTAGTCCTTTTAAGTTTCATTAAAATTGCATTAGTGGTATAAGAGGAGTAGTCTGGACAAACTCATGAAAGGGCAAAAAATCTGACAAAAATCATTGAACCGGAAATGGCAATGATATGCACAAATAGACTGGGTACTGATCATTCCTGTTTAAGTTTGGATGAAAATGCACTAGTAGTTTCTGAGAAGTAGTCCAGACAAGTTTTGTGATGGCCAGACAGAAGACAGAAAAGTGAATGGTGATGCAAAAATGAGAAGTTGAATTCAATTGTGCCAATATACTTTGTATCAGAAATCGGCAAGTATAATGTTGTCACAGTCAAGTAATTCAGTTTTTGGTTAAAAAAAAAAGGGGTTTACTGGCAGACTAGTGTAATTTTGAATTTGAATATAAAGTAGAATTATTGATATAACAAGTTCATGTGCTTGTAATTAAATACAAAATTCTGATTGTTGGCTAACTTACAGCATAGGTCTTTTCCCATTCTCACTAAAATTGATTATCACATACCCGTGCCGCTTTTGCGACTCCGTAAATATGGTATATGGTATTGCACGAACGTGCATATATTTTGACCTGATGTCATTAGTGTTAAGACGCACTAAATGTTAGCATTATTATCTCTGTAGGTGAGTCAATGAAAAATGACTCTTTTTCACTGTAAAAGGACTTTATTTTTGGTATGTGATTGATAGAATATTAATTTTGTGCAAGTTCGTTATTGAATTTATTGAACTCCTTCAATAAATTCAGTATTGAACTTACACTCATTCAATATCCTCTATATCTTAAAACAATACTCCACTTCTTTTCACTGGCTTTTGAGTTTATAGGGTTGGGTTTATACCTGAATTTTTTATTTTCAGAATAAAAAAACCTTTTTTTCATGTCTATTTAAGGGACATCGAAATGAAAATTTGAAGTTGGTCGGCCAACAGTATAGTGCCTGGTCAGACTGCAAGTACCTACAGGCTGGCCTGGCTCTTATACTGGTGGCATAGGCTAATCAGCAAGGAAAAACTCAATATAAATCTCTGTTGCAGCTAGCACACCAAATATAAAGGGGAAGTTGAAACTCCAGGGGACTAATTTACATATAGATCATCAAATTAAGTGATGGGAATGGGGTTTATTTTATCATGAACTATCATGTAATTAACTATTAGGACTTAGATCATGCAGATATTATCACAAAATAAACATCATATTTTACTAATTAGTAAGAAAACCGGAACTATTACAAACTGATTATGTTATGTAATATTGGCGAGTTGTAAGCCACACCAACAATGCTGTAGTATGTTGGCTACTTACTTCACATTATTACTGGTTGAAGGTGGTGGTGGTGTTGGTAGTTTTGACTCGGGATCATGACAGTACGCCACATTGAATTTACCAGAGCACAGTTCAGCCAACTAGTGAAAGTTGCCTTCACTTCCGCTAGGAATTGAAACTTCTGTACATGCCACCGCACAGGTACAGTACAAATGACAGTAAAAAGGATTTCTTGATCAATCACATCAAAAGTGATCTGCGCCTTCCGTGAATCGGACCTGGGTCACCCGATTCCCAGTCCAATGCTCTACCTATTGAGCTTACTGGACGGCTTTGATGGATGAAGTTCTCAGGTTCTGCTGAGCATTATACCAGTCACAAGCTGGCACCAGAAGAACTACCCATGCAGCAAGCACACATAAATTTCAGACCAAAATAAAGGCACAGCAGTAAAAGAGGCAAATTGACTACTTGGTCAATATAGCTATGTTATACATGTGTAAGAAAGAACATTGAAAACAGTATAATTTAATAAGCATGTTTTATTCATATATTCCAGTAACAAGAATTGACATAATTATCTATATTTGAATTATTTTCAATAACAAAAATTACAAAATAATACAATTCAAATTGATGCACTGTACATAATATTCTAAAACGGTATGAAATAGTGCCTTTGACAAGAATGTATACTAATAAGTATATACTGGTGTAAAATTTGAAATATTTGTTGGGGTATAATATATCACAGTACGATTTGTTAAGATTTAACCATTCTTTTTAATGTTTTAGGATTCTGTTCAAGAACAAATCAGTTTTTCATCCACTTAAATTAAACAGCGTTGATTGAAGAAATGGTGCTATATATATAGTGTATTGGCTGCTGTTGACTGTCACACTCATATGGCCATGTAAAACAATCAGAACTGAACTAACTGGTCAGCCAAACTTACAATGACCAAAAGTAACATTAGTATGTTATCACCATATTATACATTAAGATTTACTACAGTTTATAACATCAAGATTATAACAAAATTCTAACAAAAAAACCATGGCAACATCTCCTCAACAGAGATAAGCATTTCCATAAGTTATTAAAGCTGAAAGTGAATATGCCTCCCGGTTCATTATCATTTTCATGAATTTAATTTAAATGTATTTAAGAAGAATAATGTGAAGTAAACAAAGAAAATAATTTACATATTGCAACCAGCACTTGCAATCCATGTAAATTACCAAAGAGGGGGTCAAAATAAGCAAAAATAGCTGTTACTCAGTGTTCGATTTTATGCAGTAGAAATATGGCAATATATACTGCAAAATCAGTCATTAATCGCATACAACATATAAATTATTACTTGAATCTTAAATGTTTTTACTTTTCTTAAAACCTTAGTTTAATTTTCATGAAATATTTTTGCTCATCTGGAGGCATGCACCTTTAACATGATAATATAAAAGTAATGTCCATGGATATATTGTTTCATATGCCTGGAGCTATGTGAACTATTACCAGTATCTCATTTCTAATCACCTCTGTAATCACCTTTCAAATATTTATTTTATGTAACATTAGCAGTTGAAGCTGCCATAAGAGACAGATTAAACTTAATGGAGATCTTCTGTTCATTAGCTGCAGCAAATTAAGATAAACTACTCCGATAATTTCCCCATTTTTAAACATCAATATTTTAAAATCCCGGCACCATACTTGGCAACCATCTCAAATCTGGTGTTGAGGACCATGGCTTATTATCTCAAATACAAATAATTAGTGAAATATTATCAAACTTAAACAGAGGGCCAACAAAATGTGACACAATCTTAATACTTTAATTCAACATACAGTAATTTTAATAATTGAGTAAATGTTATATATGATAAATATTTATTTCTTTGTTTAATGACAAAATTTCTCCCATTAAAATTGATTTAATCTTTGTAATGGGTTAAACACATTTGTCTATAGTAGATCTACAGATGTTTTAGGGCAGATTTTGAATGGTAAAATATATGTCTGTGTCAGGACTTTGGCATAAAAAATGGTCACCTCTTATACAGAGGTCTACATAAAAATGCCCCATGACAAGATTGAAGTTGGGGTTGTGCCTTATACTGGTATATCGATTTGTGGATATAGAAATACTCAGCATTGCTATATACATGTACTACCCAAACCAATGCTCGGTTGTGACAACATTGGCTTGCCTTTTGCACTGCCATCTTGTAAACAGAGACAATCAAATTTTCTATTTTGATGACTTAAGAAACTTTTAAGGGTTTCTGTGTTCACAATTATAGTACAAGTACTGAATATGTACTGGGTTCCCTATTGAAATAAAAGTTCAGAACTATTTAGAAAGGAAACTATGAAACAGAGATTCCAAAAATTTTTTTAAGTCTTTTTAGTTTTTAGACATTATAGCTATCATTTCACTTCTGTTCCATCAAATTATAAAGAAAAGAAGACCTTATTTGTCATATCGTATTGTATTTGTCATATTGCATTGTATTTGCTGTATTGTATTGTTGTTATGTTTTTCTAATAACAAAAACAATTTTACTTGCTGTGATGCTAGTATTTATTTCATATTTAGAGAGCAAACAATGTATATAATATAGATTTTACTAAACTATAATTAGGTCAAAGGATTTTGGCCTGTCATTTTGATACTGCACTGATGATGTAAAATTGACAGCCATGTTTTGTAATATTATTGACAGCTCATTAATTGATGTCAATTAATATTGACAGCTGCCTTTGTTGATATTAAATATTAAATACACAAAACAAACAGACTGATTTATCATAACCATCTAAATATTAAATGTCTTATAAAAGACAAAACGATAGTTAAACAAATCAAGGCTACCGAAAATTGTAGAAAATTACATGGCTTTTTTCATTTCATTATTTCATATTTTTGAAAGTGCTATACATGTATTTCATTGAAAGATTATGTTTTATATTTCATTGAACATTTAGTTTGAAGAAATTATTGAAACATTTAAACTATCTAAATTCATGTATGTAGCCAATTAACAGGTTAATTAGGGTAATGGATTTGCAGAGAGTCCATTCCAAGGTATATTTCAACATTAAATTTCATAAAATTGAGCTAACCAAGAACAGACTGCATGCATAGGTGTACAGAATATGGTCCTTATTATATTATGTTCTATTATAATTATATACTGGTGGCAAAGGC